GTCCGCCAAACAAAACGAAGAGCTGCTCGGTCTGTCTTAAGACAGACGAGCGGGACACATAAGCTCTCAGTGCCCTGACAGGGCAAAGGAGACTCGCATCCACCTCCTCAGCATGAACCGGGAGGGCGCACAGGGAAATGACCTGGGCCCTGAACAGTGTGTTGAGGGATTTGGGCACGTACCCGTGCCTTGGTTTGAGTATGACTCTTGAGTCATTAGGCCCAAACTCCATACATGACGCGCTTACTGAAAGCGCTTGTAAGTCCCCTATGCGCTTCACTGAAGCGAGAGCCAAAAGAAACACCGTTTTGAAAGACAGATGCTTCATGTCTGACAAATGGATTGGCTCGAACGGGGCCCCTTTCATGGCTTCCAGAACCGTAGAAAGGTCCCACACCGGGACTGAAGGAGGTCTAGGAGGGTTCAGCCTCCGAGCTCCCTTGAGGAATCGCACGACCAGGTCGTTTTTCCCCAGTGACTGGCCAGACACAGGTTTTGCAAACGCAGTTATGGCCGCCACGTACACTTTGAGCGTGGATGGGGTCCTGCCCTTATCCAGCAGCTCTTGAAGGAAGGAAAGTACTTCCGTGACCCCGCAGTCTATGGGTGAAAAGCCCTGAGCTTGACACCAGGTAGAGAACACAGACCATTTCGCGGAGTAAAGCCGTCTAGTGGACGGGGCTCTCGCCTGTGTGATCGTGATTAACACTCCCTCCGGGAGGTTAGCGGGTACCCGTTGATGGCCCATGCATGTAGGGACCATAGCTGCGGGCGAGGATGCCAAATCGAGCCCTTGGCCTGAGAGAGGAGGTCTCTCCTCAACGGTATTGGCCACGGGGCAGTGCTGGTCAGCCGCATCAGGACTGGGAACCAAGCCTGGTTCGGCCAGAGCGGAGCCACAAGCAGCACTGGGTATCTGCTTTCCCTGATTCGTTCCAGCACTTGAGGCAGGAGCGAGACGGGAGGAAAAGCATACAGGGGACAGCGGGGCCAGACGTGGGCCAGCGCGTCCTCGCTCTTGGAGAAATATTTCGGGCAGTGAGCGTTCTCGTGGGACGCGAACAGGTCCACCTGCGCTTTGCCAAATGTCTCCCACAGCAGTTGAATCGTCTGCGGGTGCAGCGACCATTCCCTTGCTGGGACATTGTTTCTGGACAGTCTGTCTGGTCCCAGATTCAGGTGACCAGGCACATGCGCCGCTCTCAGTGAAAACAGGTTGTGCTGAGCCCAGACCAGGAGGCGTTCCGTTAGCCTGTAAAGGTTTCGGGACTTGATGCCGCCCTGGTGATTTATGTATGCCACCACTGACATGTTGTCCGAACGGACCAAGACGTGGTGACCCTTTATCTGGGGACAGAAGCGCCGTAGCGCATTGTCGACTGCCATCATTTCCAGACAGTTTATATGTAGGAGTTTTTCCCGTTCTGACCACTGGCCAAAGAACGGTCTGCCCCCGGGCAGCGCTCCCCATCCCGAGGTGGAGGCGTCCGTGGACACCACCTTCACACTCGAGGGAGTCCCAGACTCACACTTGACTGATACCAGTCGGTTACTTTCCATGGTTCCAGAGCTGAAACGCATTCCAGATCGACCCGGAGGCGAAACCGGCCAGCGGTCCATGCCCGGGGAGGAACTCGCGCTTGGAGCACTGAAGCTGCTGAGGCCATGAGGCCCAGCATTTTCTGAAACCTTTTGAGCCGGACTATCGAGCCGCGGCGGAAGGATTTCACGGCGCACTGAATGTCCGGCTCGCGCTCTGGCGACAGGCGCGCTGTCATGGATAGCGAGTCCAGCACTGTTCCCAGAAAAGAGATTTTCTGGCTGGGAGACAGCGAACTTTTCGCCCAATTGACCGTGAGACCCAGATTCTCGAGATGCTCGAGTAATGTGGTCCTGTGTTCTATGAGCTCTGATTGTGATCGAGCTAGAATCAGCCAATCGTCCATGTAGTTCAAAATTCGCATGCCCTGGAGTCTCAGGGGTGCGAGAGCCGCGTCCATGCACTTCGTAAATGTACGGGGTGCCAAGGACAGGCCGAACGGCAGGACTTTGTATTGGTATGCCTGGCCCTCGAAGGCGAATCTCAAGAATCACCTGTGACGCGACGCTATTTGTATTTGAAAATATGCGTCTTTCAGATCTATTGACATAAACCAGTCGTCCTGGCGAACTTGCGCGAGGATTTTCCTGGTTGTAATCATTCTGAACTGCCGCTTCGCGAGCGCTCTGTTCAGCTGTCGCAGATCTAGAATGGGTCTGAGACCCCTGTCTTTTTTCGGTACCAGAAAATACCTGCTGTAAAGACCCCCTTTGCTCTGAGCTTGAGATAAAGGTTCTATAGCCCCTTTGCTCAGTAGTTTCGCTATCTCGGCTCGAAGTAGATGAGATACTTCGTCTTTTACCGTCGTTTCGACTCGCGCCGCACAACGGCGGGTGCGACGAGCGAACTGTAGCGAATAGCCTCTTATTATAGTCTTCAGCACCCATTCTGATACCCCGGGAAGCTTTGCCCACGCATCTGCATGAATAGCTAGAGGTAGAATGAAATCTGGGCTCTGGCCGCGGCATAACGGCGGCCGGAGAGCTCCGGTGTGCTGGGAAATAAACACTGTGTTTACAGCGTGCGAGGCGGGGGGTGCGCTGATCACACCGGGCAGCCCGGCCGCGCTCAGCTTCTCTCTGACATGTTGTGGAGAGAATGCGAGCGGGACGAGCCCCGTAGGGTTCGGCATGTCTGTGAGGGAACGTGGGCGCGGGATAGCGGGCACACTCACTGCACTGATAACACTGTCGGCTCGCGCCGACTGAGAATGTGTTGGTTTCGTTTTTACAGAAACCGTGGGACATGCTTTGTGTAGTGTTTGTGGGCACTGTGTTGTGGGCACGTAGACTACATTTATTGCACGATCGACATGAGTCGATTCTATTTGTGCTAGCCCTGTATTGTGGCGGGCTGTGTCTGTGTGTGGGAATGGGCACTGAGAAGTGGGAATTCTTACAACACTTATAACACCTTCGGCCGTGGCCGGAATTCCAGAAAATACACTCTTTTGGGATTTATCTGGGTCGCTGTAAAATTGGCGTTTGTGTGCAGGCAAGCGGGCTGTGGTACCGGCTTGTTTACTGCAAAATACATTGGAACAGTCACATTGTTTGGAACTGAACGAGCGAGAAGTTTCAGTAGAGTCTGGCCGCGGCGAGACTTAAACACCGTGGGCCTTAGCTGACTGTATGTGTGTTGGTTTCTTTTACAGAAAACGTGGCACATGCAGTGTGTAGTGTTTGTGGGCACTGGGTTGTGGGAACATTCACTATATTTAATGCACAATTGACATGAGTCGAACTCATTTGTGCGAGCCCTGCTCTGTGGCGGGCTGTGTCTGTGTGTAGAAATGAACACTGGGCTGTGGCATTTTTAATACACTCATAACACCATCGGCTGTGGCCGGAATACCAGAAAATACACTGCTTATATGATTTTTCTGGGTCGCCATGGAAGCGGCATTTGTGTGCAGGCAAGCGGGCCATGGTACCGGCTTGTTTACTGCAAAATACACTGGAACAGTCGCATTTTCTCGGAACTGAACGAGTGAAAAGTTTGGGTGTAAGTCTGGCTGCGGCGAGACTAAATTTGTATCTGCTGCGAGCGCTGGAAGCGCGGGAGCCGAAAATGGTTAAGCTTAACTTCCCTTAACTTTTCCCATTCATTCTCTATGGTAGTGCTTAACACTACGGATGCAATATACTTTTGGCCACACGTAGACTTCCTGGCGCTGTTTCGCTTTTCCGTGGCGGGAATTTAAAAAGCATAGTGTCATCTGTCAATCATTCGCAGTGGATGAGGGGGAGACCCGTTTTACGATCGGAGAGATATTTGTTTACCGACTTGTCAGCAAACTTGTTTTGTTTTGTTACTGTCTAAACTACCTGCAGACAGATTTTACCTCAGGTGACCACATATACATTATTATTCAAATATTTTATCATTTAAATTGCATGTATATTATCATGTAAGCATATTGTTATCGTGTTGAATGGATTGTGACGATAAGAAACAGTAAACTCCTCGTTGTAAATACAGTTGTTATTTTATAAGAGTATCTTTGTTTGTAAAGGTGAATGTTTCATCATAATCTCTTACTATGTTTAAAATATATGTTTACAGTGCAGTAAGATGTAATGTGCAGTAGTATGGAGGACCCAAACCTGCAATTAAAAATGAATGAATAAATAAATGAATAAATAAATAGGTAGATAAATAAATGTGATAATAGGAAAATAAATAAAGGAATAAACGACTCGATAAAATAAATATGATTCATTTTAATCAAATGTATTTTTGTATAATTTTCCTCTAATTTATAATTTTTTGCTTTTATATTTTAATGTATTTGTATTCTTTTTAATTGTATTTATTTATTATTTTATTTATTTGTTTGTTCCATTTATTCTTATATTTATTTATGCATTTATTTATTTATTCCAAAATGTATTTATTTCCAGATTTGTTTATTTTAACCTTTATTTATTTCAATTTTCTTTCTTTAGTTTTATATCTATTCTTACATTTTTTTGATGTGCATGATAATTAGGTTGGTTGGTCTTGCTTACCAAATATAAATTTTAATTAACAAATAAATAAAAGCAGAAAATAAATTAAGGGAAAAATACAAAAATTAGTTTAAGAATAAATCATATTTATTTTATCAAGTCGTTTATTCCTTTATTTATTTTCCTATTATCAAATTTATCTCTTTATTTATTTACATATTTATTTATTCATTTTTAATTTCTGCAGTTTTGGTCCTCCTATAATGTAATTAATATCACACACACGTATTACATTTAAATTACAAACAAATATATATATATATGTACAATTTAATGGTATAATTTAACATTTTTAATTAGTTCAACTTGTTCAAACTTTTTATATATACATATATACATTTATGCACATACATTTTTATATTAAATCTTTTTTAAGCAATTTAAAAAATGAATATTAAATAATGCAAATTTAATAAACACTGCGTGCTATAATGCTGCATTTATTCAGTTAAGAAACAGTAGTATTATGGAATATTATAGCATTTTAAAATAACTCTTTTATATATATCACTGATGTTTTAGTATTAACTGTCTTATTTCACTTTGTTACTGTAAGTATTTAAATGCTAATGCTGATACACTAATGAATACATTCTGATTTCAGAACAGCATCATGAAGAAAACAGTGTTTTTCCCCGGGAAAGTCAAAGTGTCTTTCAGGAAAGGCCCATCGGGCCATTTACGCCGGGACCCATCAGAAGAGGCAAAAAGAATTAAAGACAACCCTTCACTGCAGGACAAGTCAACACCTCAAAGAGAAGATCTGGTCAAGCTGAATGCCCGTTCTGTTGTGTTACATAGAGGAGGGGATGTCTCTGACAAGCAAGAGGTGTTGGGAGAATGCATTCTTCAGTTCGGCAAGTACAAGGGCAAGTCTTTCAAGTGGTTATTAGAGAATGATGTCAGCTATGCTTTGTACCTGTCCGATAAGGTTGAGGAAGAAGAACAGGCTGGGCAGTTCAACCCAGAGGGTCCATGCAAGGATAGCCTAATTTCCTTCCTTGAGTATTCAAGAAGCTTCAAGGAAATTGAAGATCTTAAACAGTATCTGTCTCAAAGGCCAGATCCAGTGCCAGTTTTGACAGAGGATGACAATACTGTTGGATTTGGATCCAGAGCACAAGACACTTGGAGGAAAATTTGGGAGACCAGGGCAGACGGATATGCTTTCTTTATAATGAGGCAGAAGTGTGTGCCAGGCAGCAAAATGTACAATTTGCAGCAGTATCTTTTAAAACAGCAGCAAAAACAGATGACCAAAAACACTCCTCCGTTGCCCTCACCATCAGCTTCCACTGCAAGACCACCTGTTCCTTCTATTACTGACTCTGATCAGCCTGGTGAGTTAATAAAATTCATGGAAATTTGCTTATATTGATTCTTAAAGCCTGCCTACCTACTGATGCATTTGTTATATTTTATAGTAATGGAGGAGGATGAAGAACTGGAGAGGATGATGCTGAGTCTTTCTCCAACAAAGTATCTCACACAGCTGAGTAAGTTAATCAAGTATCGTGTCATGTGTGTTATATATACCCATGTCAAATTCAGCATCTTTATGAGGTATAAAATTGTACATACTGGAGAAAAACCATTCAAATTATAATGCTTAATTTTTAGGATCATCTGCAGCCACAGGATCCACAGTCTTATCTACAACAGGTTACTTTACACATCAGTTTTGGAGGCTTCATAAAGACTTATCCTCCCTTTCTGATTTTAATTCTCTTATTTGTTGTTTTGGCAGTGTTCTTGCCTGTTCTAAAAACATGTTCTTTTGTTCTAACTACTGTTAAGGTTTGAATATACCAGTGGTGAGGGTGAGTGCACTTCATGAATTGTATGCATGCTATTTAAACTGTTTTTATTTGTTGTGAAAAAGTGGACTGTTTACTTACAGACATTTGAACATTATCAGAATGTGCATTACTAGAATAAATTACAGAATAAATAGAATAAAAGAATAAATAATGATTAGTCATTTAATGTAGTCAAGACAATCAAATACATATCATGTACATTCAGTGTTTTAATGTTTTTAATTTCCTCCCTGTGCTTTTCCTTGCAGCTCTGCCACAGCCTCCATCAACATCAGCTCCTGTGTGTAGGCCTTCTTCACAGGGTGAAGGCTTTGCACCACCTCACGCAGCACAATCAGCACCTACACCTGCACCAATGCCGTCTGCACTGACTGAAACCCCTGTTCCCAGCTACTTGAACAAAAAAAGTAAAGACAGTTAAACACACGTGCATTAAATGTGTTATACACGCATATATACATTAATTTCCTTTGCTTTGTTTTCCTTTCAGTTATGCCACAGCCTTCACCAGCATCACATGCAGTCTCTAGTCCTCCCAGTCCACCAGCTCCTGTGTGTAGGCCTTCTTCACAGACTGATGGCTCTGTACCACCTCCTGCAGCACAATCAGCACCTACAGCTCCTGCATCAATGGCGTCTGCACAGACAGAAGCACCTGTTACTAGCTATTTGCAAGATATTAGCCACTGGAACTGCTCTCTTCATCAAAGAATTTGGATGAAAACAGAGATGGAGTCCATGGGGCTCTGGCCAGGATCACACCCAGTAAGACACCTCATGAATATGGTCACCTTGTGGCGCTATCCACCTCAGCCTGAGCTTATAGAGACAAACATGGGCCTTCCGTCACCAAAGTACTTCCAGCTCCATCCCTTTTTCATTTGGAAACCTGAGCACAGTATAAATGAAAGGCTTAGAAACAACTACGTCCTGCCCTGTCTCTACAGCTGTCGAAATCCTCATGTTGTGTCCTCAGGTGTGGGAAGACCCAGAGTGATCCTTGGCACTAGTGGGCAATATTACATCCTTGCTTCACGTCTGTGCTGTAAGGCATGTAAAAAATACTGGTTCGCTGATAAACCTCAGTGGGTGGACATGCTACCACAGCGATTTAGAAACATCTTGCCAGCCTTCCTCACCCATAAGAAGGCAATCTGTAAAACGGTGATGGATGAACTGAGGCGCTCTGGAAAATCCCCCAATGACATGGCCAACCAGCTGTCTGAGGTGCTTCACCTTAAATTTGAAAGAGCCCACCTTGCTTACCTTCTCATTGTGCAGAAGAATGAGAACTGGATGATCCTGTCCTGGGTGATGCTGCAGTCTGAGAGTGAGCAGTCCTTGACGTCAATGTACTGTGGGATGGCCAATCGCTACAGTGCTGCTGGCATACCCAAGGCCAAGTACCAGTGGGTGGACAGGTAAGAATAATCACATCTCATCACACATCACATCAATATGTGTAAGCAAAGGTAATGAATACATTAAAATTTTATTTTATTTCCTTTTTATGTACTTAGGGACTGCTGTGCTGCTTTCAGAGTGATGGACCCAGGACCGTATGAGCACCAGCAGTGGGAAGCTTGGAGGACCACTGAAGCTACTGTGGCAGAGGTTACATCAGGAAACCTCAAGAATGTAAATGCCGCTTGCCAGAAGTACAATGAGGACATGGTGGTTAAACCAGACTTGTTTCACTGTATGCGGCGATTCACCAGGGAATGTGTTTCGGAGCACCATCCTCTGTATAGCTCCTTCTGCCAGTTCCTCTCTTCTGCCTTCTCTGTAGTAGATCAGAGTGACCTGGAGAAACTGAATAACGCATACAAGTTCTGTGGAATTGAGCCTGCTAATCCCACAAAGCAGCACATCAGAGGGCACTGCAGGACAAAAGTGCCACATCCTAGAGAGCTGGTCCAAAGAGTGGAAGAAGTACTTCACCATTTCCATCTTGCAAAGGATCCCAACAACATCTTCCTTTTTAAACCCTCGATGCTAAAATTGTGGTGGATTCAGCGTATCCACATCCTTAGAGGCTGCCTGAGTGACCCTGAGGTGGAGGAAGGAATCCTCTACAGACATGGTGGAACGCTACAACTGAATCATGTCAAGGGTGAAGGAGCTGCTGTGCCCATCTGGATCCCTGTCAGAGGCACTTCACAGCAGGAGGGGTTTCATTTCCACCAGGCTCAGTGGGTAACGGGCAATCGCGTCTCTCCTGAGCTGTTCCAGGCGCAGGGTATGACTGGTGTGGCACGCTGGAATTATCAGCGGCTGGTGGACCTGAAGCAGCCTGGGCTTGTCTTACCTGGAGTGTTTGACCCTGTTTTGATGATGGAGTTAAACAGGGCATCTATAAGAGTGACTGGGCAACCCAAATATCCAGCCTTCCACATCTCCAGTAGGGACACAAGAGAGAGGTTTGGCCTACAATATGTGGAGCCAGGCTGTCGACCTGTGCCTCTTGACTTTGACAAACACAAAAGCAGGAAGACAGACCTAGAGATGCAAGAAGAGTCTTCATCTGGCACTGAGTTCTCATTTCCATCTCAGGTAAGCCTTTAAAGTTATTTGATAACAGACGTTTTATATATATATAAAAAAAACGTTATATTCTAGCTCGCATATTACACTAATTTTGCTGATTTTCAGAAATGCTTAGAGGATTCCTCTTCTGCTGAGACCCCTCTTGCTGCTGAACCAGAGGCCACCCCACAGACTGTCATTTTTCAATGTTTTTCTACTCCGAGTGCTGTGACAGTGAAGGAACAAACATCTGAGGAGTTTCTTTTAGATCCAGGTAATTATATTATTCATACAGGCGCCAATGTGTGTAATCTGCCTAATCTATGCATACAAAACACAAATACTTAATTTAATAATTTTGTGAATCTCTTTTAGAACTGCCAAGCACACCACCACTGCCTTCAGCTGCTTCTCCCTGTGCTGCTCGGACTGGACCCATTAAGACAGGTGGTCGAGTCTTTGTGTTGGACCATAACAGATGGACAGATCCAATGAGAAATGCCATTGATGGTTTGCTGGCCAAGCACCACGGAAGCAAGGACCTCCTGACAAAGGTGGATGCTGAATATGCTGCTATGGTACAGAGTGCCTGCACTGACCCAAACAGCCTTTTGCACTCAACCACAAAGCAGCACATAAGCAGGTACATAAAACACCTTGCTAAAAAAAAGAACACTAATGCTTCACTCAACACCAGCCCAGAAAAGCTCCTGGAGACACAGCAGTTATGGCAGCGTCTTCACTCAGGCAGTGAAACCATCAGTGTCCCAGTGACAGTACTGCTACCTGCCCCAGTCAATCCACCCGCAAAGAGTGTTCCTGAGGCTGTCTCTCTGGACCAGGCAGCGCTTGAGAAGATGGTGAAGGACATCATAGAGAAGCAGCAGGCAGTTCAGCAGTAACAACAACAGCATATGCTGCAAAAAAAGCACACTAGATCCTGTTTAGCCTGTGGTCAGCCTAAGTCTCGATACATGGGTGATGGCACCTCAATACATTTCTTTTATCAAGGTGGTGATGTTAAATACTTCTACTGCTCCAAGAAAGTTTTTGACACATATTCAGCAGAGGGCCTGACCAACCCCAGAATGCCTTTTGAAGACTTTGCAGAGACTCCTTTTTTTTCAGAGAGAACTGGAGTCCTCTAAGCAGAGAGGGGCAGAAAATAAGAGGGTGATTGAGGAGAGAAGCAAGAGGAAGTCAGTAGTGGAGCATCCTACTGGTCGTCTGTGCAGATTCTGCCACCTGCCACTGAAACAAGGACCCAACAGTCCTCATATTCACACTGGTTTCCCTGGAGTGGCAGGCAAATACATTTACTGTCCTGCTAAAGTGTTTTCCCTTTATCAGGCTCAGGGAATGAGTGGAGAAATTTCATGGAGAGACTTTCAGCAGTCTCCATTCTATGAGACTGAGAAGCAGAGGTGGATTGATGAAAAGAAAAAATGACTTCACTGGCAAATGACATGTCCAGACCTCTAATACTGTTTATAGCACAAAGACATTCCTTGCACAATGTTATGCATATATGTATATACATATTATTGCACTTTTAATATACTGTATATATATTTTAAATATTTAATTTATTTCCATTTGTTCATTAAAATACCAAAAGTATTGTATTTTATTTTATTGCATTGTATTTTAGTGTTTTTTTAAGTTTTGACTTAAATTGTTATTTTATCTTGCTCAGATTTGAAAAACACTTAATGTTAAGTACTGTTACTATTAAACCCTGTACATAATTATTTAATTTAAAATACTTTTTTTCTTGTTTTTTCCTTTTCTCCACAACTTTAGATATTATTATTGCTGTTGTTTAATCTATAAAATCAAACAGTTTTGTCCTTGTTTGCATTGTACTTTAGTGTGTATTATAATACACACTAAATAAGTATTTAATACATTACCTTTATCAGTTTTACATAATAATATGTATATTATTGTGCTATAAATAAAATCAGAAACTTACTATTTGGTGTTTACTGGTGATATTTCATATATATATTGGATTTCTTTACATAGTTAAACACATATAATGTGAATATCTCTAAAAAATAAAGGTCTAAAATATGATCAAAATGTTCTTTACAATTATTCACATTCAAATATTTTCTATATTAAAGAAAAGTATACCCTATTATAATGTAAATGTTTATTAAGATAATTGCACATTTTGTACATCCTACACAAGAACAAATCTCACAAGTTTTATTCTATTTTGTGCAGAAAGTTAGTTTATTATATTTAAATCGTACTTAACATGAATTTGTAATCATTTTTTAATCTAGATACACTTTATGGTATTTGTGTTCGAGACGGGACTCGAACCTCTAATTTCGTGTATTTTTTCTGGCCCGCCTCCCTGGATTTTCCTGCGTTCCTATTGGCTCGCAGCGCTCTACACCTACATGCGACTGGCCATCGAACACGGGTCTCCCATGCGAAGGCTTTGGGTTTCGCCACTGAGCCACAGGGGGAAATGACAAAAGCTTAAAATAGCCCGAGCAGATAAAGAGCGTCATCACAGTTTTGTGTGTGTCGGCGTTCGTTTGCAGGAGTGCGTGTTATACAACAGGCTCATTGCTGCAATATTTGACATTTCAGCCGCTCAAACTAAGAGGAGCTGAGAAATGTTTGATAAATGGAGATTGGTCCGGCCTCGGCGGGACTAAAACACACTCTTTCCTTATTTCGCCGGTGACGCACGCCCACGGGGGGCGTCGATCAGATAAGAGAGCGTCATCACAGTTCTGTGTGTGTCGGCGTTTGTTTGCAGGCGTGCGTGTTATACAACAGGCTCACTGCTGCAATATTGACATTTTCAGCCGCTCAAACTAAGAGGAGCTGAGAAATGTTTGATAAATGGAGATTGGTCCGGCCTCGGCGGGACTAAAACACACTCTTTCCTTATTTCGCCGGTGACGCACACCCACGGGGGGCGTCGATCAGATAAGAGAGCGTCATCACAGTTCTGTGTGTGTCGGCGTTTGTTTGCAGGCATGCGTGTTATACAACAGGCTCACTGCTGCAATATTGACATTTTCAGCCGCTCAAACTAAGAGGAGCTGAGAA